CATTTGCATGTGAACAATATTACTTAATTACCTTTCGATTTTTAGACCTACTTTGTATACTTCGGAAGTGTTTGAATATACCAGCACTTTACTGTCCTGATGTAAAGCATTACCAGTAAAGTGGTCTGTCCATGCTACAACACCTTTAAATTGTACACATAATTTTATAAATGATATAAAATCTGTTTCTAGTCCATGAAAAAACATACTAGCATCGCACACTGCAATCTTGAAAGGATTTAAAATATGTGATTTCTGCCGGTACCTACTGTATTGGGTTTTATATAAAGCTTTTTTCAATAAGGTAAATTGTTACATGACAAACTCATCTTCCACCATTATCATCTGCTGTTTGTGTTTAACAACAGGAGTCCTGGTCTAACAAAACTGTTGTAATGGCTGTACAAATTACTCAGCTGAAAGCTTTTCACCAAACCAAACAGTATTAATCAGCAGTTCTTATGAAGGTGCTAATTAAAAACAATTTTCTTCCTCAGTTTGCAACACTAAGCCATCTTCATTTGCACAGTTTCCAATATACAGCTACTGTATACACTCGCACTTCAGGGCCTCTATTAACTACTGAATCTCCTATTACCTATTTTATTACATTCCTGTCTCCCAAGTTTAGAAGCTTGTTGACATTTTAGAAGTCACAGCATGATATGTTTAATCATTTTAAAAGTACATTAATTGAAGTCAGAGTCAGGAAAAAATAACGGGTCTTTTAGCGTGCGGGCTCTGGCAGGGCACAACGCAGGCTGAACGTTCAAATCCTTTTCTGCTAGCATAACCCCTCACCCGGGGCCACATCTTACGACTGAAGGGGGAGGCTGCCTAATGCAGAGGACCATTATTGGGTTTTGCATGTTTTTAACGAGCAATCTCCTACCAGTGACACCGTGTCGGTTTTCTGCAGGGAAATGCATCCAAAAGAAAAGATACTTTCTGTTACCGAAGGCCTATTGCTCCTTCGCCGTCGTCAGCCACGACAGCTCTTTGTTTTTGGGGGCTTGGCATCTGTTGAGTTTAACCCAGATTTGAGGGTCAAGATGTTTCTTCTCAGGCTGTGGAATGCCATCTGGACTACTGCTCCATGCATCTTCCCTCTACTTTCCACACACTTTGCACACAAGAAGACAATGAAGATCCAATGCCGCTGTTGGACAGAGATGGAAAATATCCAGCTTTTACCCAGCCACAACAATATGCTGGGCTTTTTGGCAGCAAGCCAGCTGCTGACTAAGCAAGGAGCCTTAATAGGCTAAACCCTTTAAAAATGGGAAAGAAAAGTTAGGTTTGTTACAATCAGCTGTTTGAGCAGCGTCCACAGGTCGGAGAGGGAGACGGATCTTGCCGAGGAGATGCTGCACTGAGGTCTCACAAAGTCTGGGGTCAGTTCTAGAGTATATTGGCCGCTTTCTCAATGGCTACAGGCAAATGAGACAGCAATACTGTCTGTGCCTCAGGTTCCCTTGCCTGGGGAATGGGCATGGTCCGGAGCGTCCTCATTTATTTAAACATTCAGCTTCAAATTCACTAAGTCACGTACTGGCTTTCTTTCAGCTTTACGGGGCTTCGCGTCAGGGTGTCCCCATTTTGGCTGGGTTAAGTAAGTGCTGCTGCAGTGCAGATGAGAATAATATTGAAAATCAGCTTTCAGAAGATGCTGCTGTGCTTATGACCAATGTCAGGCTAGCGATTTGTGACAGCGAAGGGATGACGAACCATCTTAATCAGACTCGGGACAATCTAAAAAGTGAATCAGAAGGCAGAAAGCGCAAAAATTGTCCCTTTCCCTGAGGACCCAACATGGGATGACCATGGTGCGCAGAAAACATTTTAGATACGACCGCCAGCACACACTGTCCCAGCACTCTCCACCAGCATGATCTAAAGAAGAAGAAAGCCACACATAAAGAAATCCAGGCTAAACTATGCATTTATAACTTGCCCTGTGGAAAGACAGGGACCCGGCTACTTCCCCCTTGCATTAGGGAGAACGGGTGGAAGACGGTAATAAACCGCTGCTCTGTTTGACTTGCAGCGTGCTGCTGCCTTCCCCCTCTTCCCCCTCCACATCGGCGATGCCACCGGCCGTAGCAGGAGTTAGATCAAAAGCTCCACCCACGGCATCCCCTTTTGTTCAGGGAACAGCGAAGGAGAGTTGTAATGGAGATGTAACACTTGATAAACCGTAGGCAGCCAGGCTCCAGATGTAAGGATGCTTTTCACGGGGGGAACAATTTTAATCCCCTTTCCCTCCTCATGGAAACACGTAGCCATTAAGCCACAGGCAAAATGTGAATGACTCGTCTAATAAGGGGTTTGCAGCTGGACCGATACCTGGCATAGTAAGTTCTCCTGCCTCATCTCACATTCTTAAGACATTTTTCATTTCAAAACAAACTTATTTGGCAAACGGAAAGATTTGTCCCATTCTTCCAGAATGCTATCAGATAGGACTAGTTTGTAATTTTTAAGAAAGCCTTTGCCAGATCTCACAGCAGGAAATGGAATATTTTTTTCTTGGTCTTTTATACTCTGAAGATCAAACCTCACTGCCAGTGGCACCAGCTGCATTAGGGCTGCACCCAGGAGAATGGATGTCCACAAGAAGATCATTTCTCTCTGCCATTTTCCTCCGAGAAAGGAGGAAGACACAACATTGCTCTAAAAACTACCAACTTACGTGAAGGAAAACTCGCATCAACCTAACATTTCCATTCCTGGTGCAACATAGCTCTTGCACGGTGTCGTTCATCTTCGAAGTGCAAACACAAAACTCAATATTCTCTTACAGAAGACAGTAAACTATATCATTAAAAATAGACCTAGTATCAGAGACTAATTAAAGCACATCACGTGGAAGGCTCTGATACATTTTATAAGCGTGATTTGATAAACTGCCTAACTTTTTCTTAGCAAAGATATTTGACGTATGAATAAGCTCTTTATTTTTATTAAGATTTAAGAGCTCAGAAACAATTCATCAAGTCCTTACTAACACGAGGGACTCTGAGAGATGTCTCCAAAAAAGAACACTTTTAGTGCCTCATAGACAGTAAATCCTACACCTGTGACTATTCTACATCCGTTTTAAAACAAAAAATCAAGACGACAGCATGTTTATGTACCTCTAAAATATCTACACGGAGGAAACCTGCAAGCACTTATGTAGATGAGTAACTTTACTGCCTGTGGAGCTCCAATGTGAGTTTGCAGGATGAAGCCTAAATGCTTCTTTGGTAAACAAGCCATCAATTACACACTTTAGGGGTGGTTGCAACGGTGCAAAGCCTTCAACTCAAACGACAGACACTAAAGAAATAAAAAGCAATTATCAGCTACTAATTTGAGTAAAACTGTTTTCTTCTTAGAGACAAAACCACAACTTTCAGTGACACTGGTTCTATTTTTGGCAACTAACAATCTTTATTAGATTACTTTACAGCAGACATTCAAGCCCCCTCAAAATTAAAAAGTTCACAAATTTTAATGTTTCACTGTTTTCCACACTCCTTTGTTGATTATCAAGACTTCCTTGTACATGTTTTTAGAGAAAACAAAGGCGCTGCTGTGTGGGACAAACAAAACAAACCTAATTAAACTAAAGCCACCTTCACAGCAATTTTAAGTTACTCCTAAATGCTTTTGATTTCTTACTAGACAAGTATCTTCCAACAAGAGTTTGAATATGAAGCTCATACCGGCTATAGGGAAGATATACTACTCAGTTCTAGGATAAATGGTTGGTTTGCATTGCCCCTGGTCTTTATCTAACACTGAGAATAGGCTGCTTTTTATCAAAAGAGGAATAAATTGCTGTTATTGTGATGTTAGCCCATCACTTGGCATTGCAATTCAAGTTTTTGTGAGAAAGAAATGTATGATCTAACTGCGACTTGACCTATGCCTTCTGAGATCCATCTAGGTGCTCTAATGGAGCATAAAAAGTATTGAATACAAGGACATGCAAACCGGTAGTGAAGAAATTTGCTTGAGAAGAGCCAAGAGAAAGGGACTTTCATGAGCGCGTGGTTTACATGCTGCCCAGTTTGTTAAATATGGAAGAACACGTATTGCCGAACTGGAGTTCTTTTAATTAATGTATTTCAGCATCATCCTCTGCACTTCCTTGCATTTAGTACCTCCCTCTCTCAGTCATGGTCTCTGCCTCTCTCTCTTTTTTCATCATTTAAAAAGTGTTGTCCTTTAAGAGACTGTAGAGGATTCTTTAATGATCCAGGTTGTTTTTCTGAGAAGATATTAAAATGGTCTATTAAACTGTTAAGAAAATACAAAATTGCTCCTGTTTCTTTGTAGGATTTTTGTATTTCCCAGTACAAGAAAAGTCACATTAAATGTTCATCAAATACTTGGGCCACAATATATCACACTATAAATTAATTTAAGGGAGATAGTTTGATTACGCTACAAAATCCTTTGGTTGTTATAGTGTTTCTTGGAATTTATCAGAAAAGGATGGGTTTTTTTTAAAGCGTTTTCTAGGGTAGTAGCATTTAGATTTTAGTCCTGATAAAGGCTCACTTTCCATTCATAGTCAGAACCTAAATGTGCTCTTCTTGTACCTAAACAGATAATAAGCACTCAGCACACTCCCCCTTCTTGACACAACACACTGAGACTAATCACACATAATTGGAGAGGAGGAGCAGAGGGGCTGGGCAGGCTATTGTGTCCAAAGGACAAATGGTCAGTTTATGAGGCTTTTGTCTGATGTATAATTTCTTATACATCTACAGGAGGAAAAGTCCTGCTGGAAAAAAACATATATACATATGTATATATAAAAAAGCCTTCAACACTGAACCAAATGAGGACATCTCAATCACGGGTAGAAAAATCAACAGTGGAATTTAAAAAAAAAAGGCAGAAAAATCCGAGCATTCAATAGGTGCACTTCTAAAAGATCTTAAGACAACTATTTCCTTACTAATTAAGTGTGAATGCATTTACTGCTTTACAACCAGTTATATAAATCTACAAAGTACATTATTCACGTATTTTCAAGTAACCCAGAAAATAACATTTAAAGAGATTAACAAAGCACATGCAAGTTTAAAGGCACAAAGGAGAAGGAAGCCAGCTTTACACCTTTGTTAATGTGTACACGTGAAGCCTGACCGGTTTTAGGCTGGCATCTAATTGGAAAAATAAGTTCTAAAATAATACCAAAAAGATGTCTCAATGTTTACACACTGTGAAACGAGCCACGATATGTTCCTCAGCATTTAGATTAGAAATATTGCTCTAATGATGACTCAGGAACAAAAAGGGGGGGAACTGAACCCTCCCACTTCCAGACCATCCACATACATACATAGATTAATTTTCAGTAGTCTACCTTAAAACAACAAAAAAAACCGCAAACAAAAAAAGTGTCATCTTCTATCTGTGTTTGGTTAAAACGAGAAGAAAAGGG